TATGATGATCCGCATTTGCTTGTCCTTAGGGACAGAGTTCAGCATGATGATGCCAGAGATGTGACCATCGGTGATGATGGAGTGTTGAGGATGTAGGGCTAGATTTGTGTGCCCAATGTGGATGGGCTTAGAGAGTTGATTCTGGAGGAGGCCCATAGCTCGCGGTATTCCATTCATCCGGGTGCTGCGAAGATGTATCACGATTTGAGGCAGCACTATTGGTGGAGAAGAATGAAGAAAGATATTGTGGGATTTGTAGCTCAGTGTCTCAACTGTCAACAGGTAAAATATGAGCATCAGAGACCGGGTGGCTTGCTTCAACAGATGGTTATTCCCGAGTGGGCGTGGGAAAGGATTACTATGGACTTTGTTGTTGGAGTTCCAGACTTTGAACAAGTTTGATGCTATTTGGGTGATTGTGGATCGGCTAACCAAGTACGCGCACTTCATTCCTATGTGTACTACTTATTCTTCAGAGCGTTTAGCAGAGATATATATCCGGGAGATTGTTCGGTTGCATGGTGTTCCGGTTTCCATTATCTCAGATAGAGGTACTCTGTTTACTTCCCAGTTTTGGAAGTCTGTTCAGTGAGAGTTGGGTGCTCAGGTGGAGTTGAGCACAGCTTTTTATCATCAGACGGACAGGAAGTCCGAGCGTACTATTCAGATATTGGAGGACATGTTGTGTGCTTGTGTTATTGATTTCGGAGGTTCATGGGATAAGTTTCTACCGCTTGCAGAGATTGCCTACAACAATAGCTACCAGTCAAGTATTCGGATGGCTCCGTATGAGGCTTTGTATGGGAGGCGGTGTAGATCTCCAGTTGGTTGGTTCGAGCCCAGCGAGGCTAGGCTATTGGGGACAGATTTGGTCCAGGATGCCTTAGAGAAAGTGAAGGTGATTCAGGAGAGGCTTCGTATAGCGCAGTCGCGTTAGAAGAGTTATGCGGACCGAAAGGTTCGGTATGTGTCCTATATGGTGGGTGAGAAGGTCTTGTCGAAGGTTTCACCCATGAAGGGTGTTATGAGATTTGGGAAGAAGGGAAAGTTGAGTCCGCGGTTTATTGGGCCTTTTGAGGTGCTTCGGAGGATTGGGGAGGTGGCTTATGAGCTTGCGTTTCCACCCAGCTTATCGAGTGTGCATTCGGTATTTCATGTTTCTATGCTCCGGAAGTATATTGGGGATCCGTCTCATGTTTTGGACTTCAGTACGGTTCAGTTGGATGATGATTTAACTTATGATGTGGAGCAAGTAGCTATTTTGGGTCGTCAGGTTCAGAAGTTGAGGTCAAAGGATATAGCTTCAGTGAAAGTGTAGTGGGGAGGTCGGCCCATGGAGGAGACTACCTGGGAGACCGAGCGGGAGATGCGGAGCAGATATCCTCACCTATTTGAGGTTTCAGGTATGTTTCTTGACTCGTTCGAGGATGAACATTTGTTTACGTTGGGGAGGATGTGACGACCCGGCCGGTCGTCTCATGAGTTACCGCTCTATTTTCCCTATTTCTGCTTCATTATCCGTGTTTTATGTGATCAAATTGAGTAGTTTCCGTTCGGAGTGGTTTTGGTAAAAAATGAGACACTTAGTCTCTTTTAAGAAGGTTTAAGTTGGAAAAGTCAACCAGATGTTAACTTATGTGTTAGAGGGCTCGGATATGAGTTCTGATGGTTTGGTTAGCTTCGGGAGGTGATTTATGACTTAGGAGTGTGATCGAAATTGGTTTTGGAGGTCCACAGTAGAATTAGGCTTGAATTGGCAAAGTTAGTATTTTGGCGATTTCCGGTTGGTTGGCGAGATTTTGATCTGAGGGTCGGAATGGAATTCCGAGAGTTGTTGTAACTTCGTTATGTCATTTGGGATGTGTGTGCAAAATTTCAGGTCATTCAGACGTGGTTTGGTTGGGCTTTTGATCGAAAACGTATTTCGAAAGTTTTTAGAAAACATAGGCTTGAATTCGATGTGAATTGATGGATTTGGCATTGTTTGAGGTGTTTTGATGATTGGAACAAGTTTGAATGAGGTATTGGGTTGTGTTGGTGCTTTTGGTTGAGGTCCCGGGGGCCTCAGGGTGATTTCAGATGGGTAACGGGAAGATTGGAACTTGAGGGACTGCAGATTTTTCTGTTGCTTTTGGTGTTTCCGCACCTGCGGTTTGGGGACCGCAGGTGCGGTATCGCAGATGCGTTGATTGGATCGCAGAAGCGGAAAGGCTGAGGAAGGCCTAGAATCGTAGATGCGGAAGGGGGACCGCACTTGCAGAGCCGCAGAAGCGGCGAGTGGACCGCAGATGCGGTGTTGGTCCATTAAGTGAAATTCCGCAAAAGCCGATATATGACCGTAGAAGCGGCTATTTGACCGCAGATGCGGTTAGGTCTGGGCAGAAGGTATATATGTTTCTTCTTCGTGATTTTTGAAGGGTTTAACCATTTTTAACTTCAGACTTAGAGTTTTTGGGCGATTTTGAAGAGAGATTTCAAGGGAACTTCGATAAGGTAAGGATTTTGGACTTAAAACATACTTCTATGGTGGTATTTCATGAATTAGGATTGAAATTTAACGAATTAATGGACTAAAAATGGAGGTTTAGGGCTTACGGGCTTAAATTAAGGATTTGAGAGGTCAATTGAACTCCGATTCTGGTGTTTTTGATATGTATGAACTCATGGGGAGATAAGAAATCTAATGATGTGAAAATTTCTGAGTTTCGAGAAGTGGGCCCGGGGCTCGTGTTTTTTCTAATTTCAGGATTTTTGATATTTTTCGATTGTTTTCGCTTGGGCTTTGTTCCCTTAGAATATTGTGACATATTCGTTCTGGTTTTGGTTAGATTCGACGCGCGAGGAGGCCGATTTGAGAGGCAAAGGCGTCGCGAGCTAGAGATTTAGCCGGTTTGAGGTGAGTAATGAAAGTAAATGATGTCCTGAGGGTTTGAAACCCCGGATTAGCACATCGTAGTGCTATATTGATTTGAGACACGCGCTTGATGATGAGCATGGGGTCGTTTACTATTGGGGATTGTGACTTGGTCCGTTCCGATTGATGATTTTACCGCGTATTTGATTGAAACTTATTTGTTATCATCATTATTTGGACTGATTGTCATATTTGGGCTTCGTGCCAACTATTTGAACCCTCCGAGGATTTTTATCACTATTTCCTCACTGTGTTGACTTACTACTTGAACTAAGTCGTACTGTTTTCCACTGTTTTACAACTCAGCCACTTTTTACTCGGTTTTGGAACTAAAATGATATTTTAAATGATATTTTGGGCTGAGGACTAGTGTTTTACTAATGCCCGAGGGGCTTATATGATTTCTGGACCGAGTATGGCCGAGGGCCAGATGTGAGGATACAATGATACTGATATGAGGCCGAGGGCCTGAGATACATACATAAGCCACAAGGTGGGTGATATTGATATGAGGCCAAGGGCCTAGATTTGATGCCACGAGATGGCTTGATATTGCTCTTGGGCCGTAAGGGGCCCCTCCCGGAATCTGCACACCCCCAGTGAGCGCGGGTATCCAGTTGTGATATGAGAGAGAGAGAGAGAGAGAGAGAGAGAGCCCAAGGGGCTGGTACTGTTCTACGTGTTTATTTTTCTTTAACTGTCTGTCTCTTACTGCTTATCTGTTGTAGAATTATCTTATTCCACTTTTCATTGGTTTATCATTTTTATACTACTTGTTTGACTGCCACATTATAGATTACTCTATGTATACGTAATTTCCCACTCTCAGTTATTATTTATGCTTATTACTCACTGGGTCGGAGTGCTCATATTACTCCCTACACCTTGCATGCAGATCCAGGTGTTCCAGAGGATGAGTGAGAGCTTTCCAGTCGATCAGCATTATCCGGGAGTATCGAGGTAGTTGCATGGCGTCCTCAACCCTGATTTCTCCCTTCCTTTCTATTGTATTCCGCATTCCTAGACTGTTTGTGTAGTAGGCTGTTGAACTTGTGTTAGAGGCTCGAGACTTGTGACACCGGATCGGTGTGGGCTATGTAGTAGTATTATCTTTTGACTTCCGCATATTTAACTTGTTGTTTCAGAACCTTATTATGTTAATTTGACAATTAAACTGTGTTAGCTGATATTGGACTTTATAAGAAAATGGGTTGTGGTTGATAGTTGGTTAGGCTTGCCTAGCAATGTGTTGGGCGCCATCACGATCGGGGTTGGGATCGTGACAATAGGAAATCTAGTCTGATGAACATTCTCCTAGGATAAACGTCGTAGTCTGATGAATCTTTCTCCTAAGATACCAAAAAAGTGACCTAGTCTGAGAACTTTCTCCTAGGATCAAAATCTTAGTCTGATGAATCTTTTTCCTAAGATACCAAAAAAGGTGACCTAGTCTGATGAACTTTCTCCTGGGATCAAAATCTTAGTCCGATGAATTTTTCTCCTAAGATAGAAGACCTAGTCTGATGAACTTTCTCCTAGGATCAAAATCTTAGTTTGATGAATTTTTCTCCTAAGATAGAAGACCTAGTCTGATGAACTTTCTCCTAGGATAAAAATCTTAGTATGATAATTCTTTCTCCTAAGATAACCAAAAAAAGAGGACCTAGTCTGATGAATTTTCTTCTAAGATAGAAAACCTAGTCTGATGAATCTTTTTCCTAGGATAAATGTCTTAGTCTGATGAATTTTTCTCCTAAGATAAGAAAAGAGACCTAGTCTGATGAACTTTCTCCTAGGATCAAAATCTTAGTCTAATGAATCTTTCTCCTAAGATAGGAAACATAGTCTGATGAATTTTCTCCTAGGATTGAAATCTTAGTCAGATAAATCTTTCTCCTAAGATAGAAAACCTAGTCTAACGAATTTTCTCCTAGGATAATTTAAAAAAAAGGAGATGTCTCGATTAAAAAGAAAAGAGGCGTTGGGGAAATTTGTTTAAAAGTATGATTTTCACAAAAGAAAAAAAAATGTTGATTTTTCTAAAAAAAAAGAAGAAAAAAAAATCCTTCTTGGTTTTTTTTAGCATAGGTACACAAGTTAGTAGTCTCACTTTCCAACATAGGGTCTCACTCCCTAGTTGATGCCAACATAACCTGGTAATCTTGCCAACATAGGGTCTCCACTCCTTAGTTGATTTTATTTTAGATATAAGGTCTCTACTCCCTAGTCTGCTTTTCCAACATAGGGTCTCCACTCCCTAATTTATTTTATTTTAGACATAGGATCTCAACTCCCTAGTCGCTTTTCCAACATATGGTCTCCACTCCCTAGTTGCTTTCATTTTAGACATAGGGTTTTCAATCCCTAGTCACTATTTTCTTAGGGTATACCAACTCAGACCTTTAATTGCTTTCAATAAAGAAATAGTTTAGATTTTTTTGTTACAATAACTCACAAAATTTTCCTGGTAAAAACTGGGGCAAAATATTTCATTCGTTTGTTTGCTTTGATACCTTAACAGGTTTTTACCATAAGGCACCAGGTTCGAGACGACCTAAACAATGAGTCTCAATCTAGAAAAAGAAAAAAAAAAGAAGAAAAAGAAACGAAGTGAACTAAAAGTGCAGAAGCGGAGAAAAGATGTGGACTGCTCAAGACGTGATTGAAGTCACAAGCTTTGCGTGTCCCGCCTTGATCCGAGAAGTTAAAAAAGGAGAGAACCAGCACCTACAACTAACAAGCATCAAGATTTAGATCAGAGTCCACATGAAGAACCAACCAAAACTCAAGATCAAGCTTCAAAAGACTCATAGATAGGAATCTTGTAACTCGTAGTTGATAGGCTTAGCTAGTTTAGCTTTTGTTTTTCATTTTGGTGTAATAAGGAGCTCAGCAAGCAGAAACAGCATCAATAGCAGTGAAATCACAGCTTCTCAGTAGTTCCAGCTACCAAAACTTTCAGAACTACACCGACCTGATTCCTTTATAGACAAGGATATGTAGGCAACCTCCGAAGCAAGGTTCAGTCAAACTTTTTCAAAATGCTTCCAAATGGAGTTTCAAACTGGCAAAAATTGCTCCTAATTGTTCACTTTATCTTTGCCCGAAAACTTTTCATGTTTCCGAGCAAAGAGGAGCAGCTTTGAGCACCTAATTTTTTCCCTACATGAAAATAACTCCTGAGAATTAAACCAAAATAATATTTTTAAGAGTTTTTGCATTGCATGCATTTTTAATATTTTAGAATCACAAAAAAATCATAAAAATTGTCATGTTTTAATTTTACGCTATCTTAGGCTTAGTTTACTTGTAAGAATTAATTTTATTAAGCAAACAATCATATAAAATGGTCATTTTTACATATTTGAATTTTAGCCTTTAAAATTGGCATTTTTCCTTAGTTTTAAGTTAACTAGTTGTTTTAATGTTAAAAATAAATAAAGAATTTTTAATAGATTGATTTAGGATTTTAATTGCTTTAAAAAAAAAGAAAAAAAATCAAAGAAAAGGAAAATAGGAAGAACATATTTTTGGTCATGTTTCTTTTAAAATTGGACCAATTCTTGAAGGCCCAAATTAATTTTATACCCCAACTCAATTCCAATACAACTACCCAAATATCCATTACCCTTTACCCTACCTCCTACATATAAGAATACATTTGGAAACCTAAAAGACACACACATTAGATCCCTACCTAAAACTCAGCCGCAGTACAAAAAGGAGAACCCTCCTCTCTTGAAAAGACCGAAGCCCAATCCGTAATTCTCTAATCTTATTCTTCTCCAAACAGATAGCCACAAAAAGTTACTGTGAAATAATCATATTCTCTTTGAATTTCTTTTTTTATAGCTATGTAAACTCACCACAGCAACATCATCTTCTTCATTGAGCATCACTTCATTTTTTCTTCTTTATTAAAGCCATTTACATCTCTAGAAGTTAAAAATCTTACTGCAGATTCGCTCTCCAAAAGCCTTCATCCCTTTCCTTTATTCCATTAACACAGCTGAGTTTTTATTATCCTGTTACCACAAAACCCAGCAGGAAACAAAAAAAAAAGAAATTCGAGATCAGGGTCTGGAGTTCCATCTGAGGTCTCGGTGCGATTCATGTGTGCCGATTTTACTTCACATCGAAGGTCCTTGTGATTTTCTCTTTGTAAGCTGTCGAATCTCTAATTGGAGTTGTCTTGCTACGATTGTTGTTTGTTGTGGACGGAAATTGCTGTTGAGCTTCGTGTCGCTTTTCCTTCGTTTCTTTTAAAATACAAGATAGGTGCACTTCTAATTTTCTGATTGTTGCTAGTTTCGAATGAATAAAATACTGATTCAATTTGGCTCCAGTTTTTCCATGCCATTTTGTTAAATCTGTTGGTTTACTTTGGACAAGCAAATGAAAATTTTTATTATCATTTGAAACTATAGGAATTTGGTAATTGAGAAAAGAGGACTTTAACGATTTTGATCTCATTTCACGACGATTCTATTTTGATGTTAGTAGGACTGTTCTTTTTTTGGACTGTTATTGGCTCTTTAATGTTGCTATGTTTCTTTATTCACCGAGTTTCATGGAATGATATTGCTTCACTATGTTTTATCTGTTTACCAAGTTTAATTTCCATTAAATGAAGTAATTGAAGGTTTACAAGTAAAAATAGATCTAATGGCTAAGAATATGTCCTTACGTTCTGAACGTTGTTATAGGCATATATGCAAAGTTTTTTTTATGCATTTTGTCCCTTGGTCAAATTTGATTAGCAAGATTTGCTTGCTTTGGGCGGGGCCTCTTAAAAAATATGCTCAAAGGCAATTAAATCTCGATAAGTGCTCGAAGCAGTACAATAAGGCTAAACCTTCTCCTTAAATGCGGGCCCGCCTTCCCCCACCTTAATTTATTTAATTTCATTCACAATAATCTCAAAGTAATTTAGGAAATAAATCTTTGAATATCCGTAGTTTTCTTTAGGCACGCTTTTAAATTATTACAACTACGGGTACAGTTCCCGAGACGTGGTTGTGATAATTAGTTTTTTTTTAAGTTAGATTAAAATAGCACCTTTAGTTTGCCTTTAAAATACATAAACTTTTTTTAAAAAAAATAATAATTTGAGTTGTGCCATGCTTAAAACTCATAATACATGGCCCTCACCAATTTAGATCAAGAGCTAATCCTTTTAGAAACTAAGTCGAGGTGCGCCATACGCAAATAAAATCCATAACCTATGGCCCTCATATAAATACAAAATTAGTTTAGAAATGCCTTGAACCTTCGTAGTTTGCTTTAGGCACACTAATTAAATAATTGTCATAGCTAGGGGTACGGTTCCAGTGACGTAGCTGTGACCCCTAATTACTAAAATGCGGGGGGTACATTTATGTGACCCGACCACAATTTAATCTTTAAAATTAAACATGTTGTAGATCGTGGGTACGATTCCCGTGACGTGATTTGCAATATGTAACAATAATTATTAAAAGCGGCTAATTAGTTAAAATACACCATAGGTTAAAACATGTAATAAATCGAATAATAGGCCAATTTTAATAGTTTAAGCGACCGTGCTAGAACCACGGAACCCGGGAATGCCTAGCACCTTCTCCCGGGTTAACAGAATTTCTCGTTCGCAGACTTTAAAAAATAAAAGTCAAATTTTTCTCGATTTGGGACTTAAAATAAACTGGTGACTTGGAACACCAATTAAACTATTCCAAGTGGCGACTCTAAATTGAAAAAACGATCCTATTTCGAATAATGTCACTTTAATTGGAAAAACTCTCTTATACTCCCCCTCGGGTGGGTAAAAAGAAGGTGTGACAAACTCAAACTAATCTAGAGTAACAACTTAAGAGATTAAAATAAACAATTTGGCGAATATTATAGACAATTTCAATGAGAGACAATATTCTAGAGCTATGGGCTAGCTAACAATCCCATTAAGTTTTTTACCTAAATTGTCTAATTAATTTATCTAGTTTATTGATTGACGAGGCTAATATTACTCGTAGCCTTCTCCCGAAGTACTACTTGCATATTCAAGCTAACCTAATGCTTATATTCCTATGAAATTAGAATTAACAAGAATGCATTAATAATTCCTGTAAGGTAACTACGCAATGTGATAAGGTATATCTCTATCCTAACCGCAAATCCGTACCCGATGCTCGAGTTCA